GATTTTGGTCTCATCTGACCACAACACTTTCACCTAGTCTTCCTCTGAATCAGTCAGATGTTCAGTGGCAAACTTCAAACGGGCCTGTAGATGTGCTTTCTTGAGCAGGGGGACCTTGCGGGCACAGCAGGATTTCAGTCCTTCACGGCGTAGTGTGTTACCAACTGTTTTTTTGGTGACTATGGTCCCAGCTGCCTTGAGATCATTGACAAGTTCCTCCCAAGTAGTTCTGGGCTGATTTCCTCACCGTTCTCATTATCATTGAAACTCCACGAGGTGAGCTCGTGCATGGAGCTCCAGACCGAGGGAGATTGGCAGTTAATTTATGTTTCTTCCATTTGCGAATAATCGCGCCAACTGTTGTCACCTTCTCACCCAGCTGCTTGGCGATGGTCTTGTAGCCCATTCCAGCCTTGTGTAGGTCCACAATCTTGTCCCTGACATCCTTGGAAAGCTCTTTGGTCTTGGCCACGGTGAAGAGTTTGGAATCTGGATTGATTGACTGCTTCAGTGGACAGGTCTCTTTTATACAGGTACTGTAATGAGCTGAGAGGGCTCCCAATGTCAGCTCGTTACCTGTATAAAATACTCCTGGGAGCCAGAGATCTTGCTGACTGATAGGGGATCAAATACTTATTTCATTCATGAAAATGCAAATTACTTTATAACTTTTTTTGTAATGCATTTTTCTGGATTTTTTTTGTTATTGTTGTGTCTCTCACTGTTTAAATAAACCTACCATTGAAATTGTAGATTTCTTTGTTAGTGGGCAAACTTACAAAATCAGCTGGGGTTCAAATAATTTTTCCCCTGACTGTATGTAAGTAAGAGAGAAGATTTTATGAAACCACAAGTAAAGTCCTGATGTTCAAGACCCCCACACTAAACATTAAGAAAGACTGTAGGCTTTAGCAGTGGAGGAACATTTACCTGCATGTTTCGTCATGCGAGCGTACATGCCGATTGACACCATCACTAGAGCGATTATCTGAGGAGATAAAAATATATTCCTAGTTTCCTTAGTGCATTTCAAAACACTATAAATGGTCTCTACTCTACACACCACAGCAGCTGAAGAATGATTTCTATGTTCATACTTGTCAAGGGAGTGGCACCATTCACCAAAACACTGAATCATGAGAATTATCAAGATGTGCAGGTGGTTTATATGAGTCACAGACAAGACTATACTGATAATAAATAAAAAATCAGTCCAGTGTTAAAATACAGGATCACAACATTCTTCATTAGGCATCTATAAATTCAGAGATTTTGCCTTTCACTTCCATTTGACTAAACTGACCTGGTAGCAATCTGTACCCTTCCCTAAAAACATAAAGACCCTTTCACTTAACGCTCCTCTTCCAGTGTCAACAGAATAATAGGGAACCCTCAGAAATGCTCTTCCAACTCCAATTGAAACGGATCAGATTACCATAGACACTGCACCTTGTTGGGGTGGTGCGAGGGCAAAGCTAGAGTTGTCAGCCTGTTTTTGTAAAGGTTTAGTTTGAAGGTGAATAAACCAGCAGTGACACCTGAAGTAAACAGGTGGTTTTTAAAACATTTTGTCTTTTTGTTGTAAGGCTCATAAAAGGCAACAATCTTGTGAAGTACTGCTGAATCACATTAGGGCTTAGGTTGAGTAACTGATTTACATGTATGGTTCATCATTATTACACTAACTCACAATTAGTTATAAGAATAACAACAAAAACTGGACTTTCCATGAATTTCCTGAACATTGCAAACAGTGTAGACTTAAAAAAAACAAGACAAACTTGCAGTAATCTCTTGCGTGTCTGATAGGCCTATAGAGCTCATTGCCAGAGGGAAGAGAAATACCCACAGCACATTCCATGTTGAAAAGCTTCAAGTTTTTACACAACCTTATCCTTTTTATATGTGGCAACAAGTTGTGCTCAAAGTGTCGGCATGACACCCTCATATCAGACTGATCAAATACACTGGTGAGAGACAGAAGTGAATAAAGAAAAGCTAGATAGAGATCATGATATTTAGTTCACATTCCCGGTTATTTTCTACACGATTTTGGCTCGACCTCACATACGGAATCTTTGTTACACTGCTCCAAATCTCAGGAACTTTAGTCTGCAACAGGAGATTGGCTCTAAAAGAGCTCTAAGTAATAAAGCTTCTTATGTTACAGGCCCCTGGCACCTGACACTAAAACCCACTGATTTACAAACCACTGCTGAGCTTTGCTGCTACTTTCAACTGAGTTCTTTACTTTCAAAGTTCTACAATTATTGACGTCTTGTTATGGGAGGCAAACACCACAGACAGTACATAATAATACAAATGATTTAACAAATGCTTGTATCCCTTGGCATATAAAGGAACCAGTGAAATTAAGTGCAGTATGTGGTGTCTGAAACAAACCACAGCAGTTTCATTTAGTGCATAGTCACATTCATTGTTACTGAGATGACAGCAGTGTTTGAGCCAAACTGAAAAAGTCCTTTGTGAGTAAAATCTGTTGGTGCATTCCAGATTTAAAACTAGGTTTGTGTCCAATGACTGAGCAGCAAACACCTGGTGTGTGTTGTGTGTGTGTGAGAGAGAGAGCACTGTAACTTCTCTTTTCTTTTTTTCTAGACAGCTTTCACCTAATAAAACACCAAAGTTAAAGAACAACTAAATCAAACAAAGCAGTGAATACTCCAACTGCCAGCACACAAAACTCATACTTTTAGGATAAACGTAAGTAGGAAACACACTATGGTTGGGATAACTGGAGTCATAGAAAATATATTTCAACTATAAATTTGTTATTAAAATGTGCATTAGTGTTAAGTACCAGAAACTAAATGCGGCTTGCCAAGAAACACAAATGATTAACCTGCGCACAGAGGGCAGTAAAAAAAGGTTCGAACTTTTTCGCCGATTATTTAAATAGCATGAGGACACTCACCCAAAATATAAAATTAAATGTGAACAGTAGATATTTTACAACTGGACTGACATATGTGAAGTCCTCATCATATCCAGGTGTTCCTCTGCGTCGGTCTGCCATGGCGAGTATCCAAGCGTCTTATCTAAGTTTGCGCACAAACGCGCTATTAGCTGTTTGGAAAACTGTATTTCCGAAAGCAAAACCAATCAGTTGTCGGCATTATGATGGCGAAGACCTGCTTTTCCGTAATATTTCACTCGACAGTCACAGTAAGGACGTCGCTACGAGCTGCAGCTAGCCCTGTCAAGCACTGACTGAGCATGTATAAGCTGGGTGTGTTCACACTGTGTCTACCGTTTTTACCGATGATCATATGATATAACACAGAAGATGGTTCCATGATTGGCCTGGGGGTTGTCCGACAGCAGCTGATTTTATAAATATCGCAGGTGGGAGATCTGTGTATTTTCCCAAACTTGATAATGTTTTAGAATTATGTTATAGCCTATATCCCACACGAAAGAATAAATGCATGTGCTTTTAGCATTTTTCATTCACAATTTCATTAATATGTCTCTATATACCCATTGCTTATATGGTGAATGAGGTCACCAAAGTTACACATTATTTTCCCTAACGGCATGCACCATATCTTTTTTTAGTATCTGTATTAGACGCGAATAATTTTGCTTATACGTAATTGGTAAATCATTTTGCAGCGGTCATTTTGCCAGAAAACCACACGTTACCACTAGTAATAACACCAGTGATGGTTCTGCCTAAATGAAGTGTCTCAGTAACAGTCTGACAGTGAGCCAGTTTTCCTACTGTCATGGTCTATCTATTTGGGCTTACTGTACAAGCAAAAGTTGTGGCTATTCTGATAACAGTCTTCCTGCTTTTACTTCCTTTCATAAACTGTGCGAGGGGAGTTTTAGTGGTTTTAATGTCTGCACATGAAACATTTACAGCACACAATGGCAAACAGTGTCACAGTTTCCTATGCGTGTGAGTGCAAAGGTGCTTAATAAGGTCGCATTACATTGTACAGGTGCAGTAATGTAACCTGGTAAATTGATGATAAGGAAAGGTCGTGGGTTAGCAGGGAGCCTGGGAGGCCAAAGTTCAAACTCAAACATATAAGACTGACAAATGTTCTAGGCCTAGAAGGTGCTATTTTCCCACTATGTAAAGATGGCCATCCGTGCATGTGACACAAGGATAATTTGTATTTCCACCCCTTAAACTTTCGATTAAATGTCTCAATAACATCGATGTTCAGGTACTTGCTTTTAGTTTTCAATATTTTATTACTATAGACTTTTATTTTGAAGAAACCTGCACACGGACCGATAACATCCGTTTTACCCGGACATTTTATTTATTTTCAGTTCTGTAAGATGAATACTAAAGTGGTATTTTGTTAATTGTGTATAAGTTACGAAAATGGCGTGGGAAAACCAAGGTTTTTGTGACTATTTATCAATTGTCTGCTAGCATCACTAGCCAGCTTTTCAGCATATATTATAGTTGTCAAAAGTTATTAAGCTAACGTTAGCTAAGCTAATCCTCAGCCTTGTAGGTGATAGGCAGAAATCGCATGTTAATGATTGTTTGACTGGCTGTAACTAAATGTATTGTAACCACCCATTCACTGCAGAATACTTGTTTACAATGTCGTCTGCAGGTCCCCCTCTTCCTCCGTACTCCTTACGTCTCCTAGCTCCTCCAGTGAAGCTTATGACTGCCTTCATGTGGCAAATAGCGCAGCAACACAGTGTGATGCACTATGACAAGCTGGTGGACTTCATCAGTTTGGCGACAGAGATCGTGCCAGAACTCCTCAATCCCAGACAGAGAGCTGAGCTCATCCTGGGCCTGAGAGCAAGGGTGAGGGAAAAGAGGATCACTAAACTATGATCCTCTTTTTTGTTATTTTTTTTTTAAATTAAATCTGAATGGTAATGTTGCCAGCATGGTAAAGTCTCTGTTTCTCTCAGTGGCTCCACAATCTAATGGCCCAGTACAGACTGAATGGACATTCTGTTGAGTTTGTTTCTGTCAGCTGCTGCTTCCAAGGTCAAGAATTAACTTCAACATTTCTATACATTGGCAGTGTATTTCCTCTTGTGTCTGAAGAATAATGTGGTGTGTTTTACTACATTATTCACTTTAGTGGAGGAAAACCTTGTCATTTCATGATTTTGCCATTTGTGGCACATGAGTAAAGTTATTGCTCATTTTCCTTTTTGTAGCTGTCTTTGTTGCAATGTCTCTGTGTGTATTGTGTAGCCCTTTATTATAATGGCAGTCAGATGTTTCCCTGCTGTGTCCTGCTCTTTTAGTTACCTCTCTCCCAACTGTGTCTTGTTGCAGCTGGTTCTGGAGTTGTGTCGTGGTGATAGCATCACTAGTCTGCAGACCATTCAGAGCCACCTGGATAAAATCCACGCCTGGAATGCTGAACTGAGCTCCAATGACCAGATGGTGCATTTTTAAAACAAAACTGTTGCATACACAAAACATTGACAGGACAGACAACAGATTAGCAATCCAGCGTGTTCTCCTTTTGATCCAAAACATGGAGTTCAATAATATGGAGGGGAAATACAATAAATGAACTATTACAGTATTATTGTTGTAACTGATGTAACATTTTTGATTGCAAAAACAACTGAAATGCAGAGTAGTTGAAGTTTAGTAGTTTATCAACTTTCTTGTTGTCCACTTTCTGATAGGCCAGTAGTGATTTACTGAAGACCTCTTACACTAACTTTGCCAGCCTGGTTGAGAACCTTGTTAATGTTCCTTTTGAAAAGGAGTTCTTCTTCCAGGTGAGTCTGTCTGTGAGAAATACATATCTCTTAAAGACCAAGGGAAGGGATATTCAAGTATTTTATTATGACAGAAGACAAATAACAAAGAGTCAATGTTGATCAGCTTTTTGAGGACCTCTACAAGCTAATTTTTGTTCAGAGAGGCTAACAAAATCTAAATAATATCCAGCTGTTTACAGCAGTAGTGTGTTGACCATTCAGATCCAAAGCTCTGGCTCTTTGTGTAGGAGGTTTTTCCTGCAAACTACGGCTCTGCCTATGACCAGAGGCTGCAGCAGCTGGTGTCTGAGTTCCTGTCCAGGCTGGAGCAGCTGCCACCCGGCTTCCCTATGCCCAGGGGGTGCAGCAGCTGGTGTCTGAGTTCCTGTCCAGGCTGGAGCAGCTGCTGCCCGTACCCGACCTGCAACAGGTACTTAAACAGCAAAACACGTTTCTAAACTGGTAGGCAAGAATTAATATAAACGTATACGTTTTAGCAAAACATCTGAAACTTACAGTATTTATCCTTAAAAGTCAACAGCTTTTGACAACATCCCTCTGTCTCTTTGGTGCTAATATAAATATGATTTTTTGATTATAACAGAAATTTAAAATAAAATTAATCAAGGCCAAATTATATCATTAACAAACAGTAATGTCATATGAATTACGCAGATACATTGATTCTTGATTTTGGTGTAGAATCAGGAGGCAATCATTTATTGGTCACAGCGTTATTTCACATCTAAAGTGAGTATTTTCAGACAAAACAGTGTCACTGCATTTTCTTGTATCTGTTATTGCTTTGAGGTCTATAGGTACGTAACTGTTGTTTCAGCTGCCAATCTACATCTCTGTGGTCCTCTGTCTGTGTCTCAGACAGCAGCATGGCTCCCTGAAACACCTTCTGTGTTAGAGGAATTTGGACAGCATCTGTCTGAACCCTTTGCCCTGAGGGCTCTGCTGCATCATCATAAACAGCTGGGGACTCTCGGCTCAGGTGAGTTGAAAAGAGATGGGATAGGACTTTTTTCAGAACAGAGTTTTTACTGAAGAGACAAGAGGAATAGAGTCTTGAAAGGCTGAAGTTTGAAATGGCTGTTATGTGTTTGTTTCCTCAGCCCTCTTGCTCACTTTTATATATTCTGAAATTAATGTTTTCTTTCTTTTGAAATAAATATAACCGTTTTTCCCCACATTTTAAATAAGTGAATCTAATGTGTAAAATGTTGAATCTCTTTCTGGATTACAGCTGTTTCAAGCAGTGAGGAAGATATCATTTTGTCCACACTGGCCCTTCCTTCTCAAACTGGAGTGGGGAAGTTTATTGAGTCATACAGTGCTGATAATTATGAAAGTGAAGAAGAGTATGTGGCATTGAAGGATTTAGAAGAAGAAGACTTGAATCAAAGTTCAGATGTCATCGCAGATGATTGGTTGCCAAAAAAAGAATCAGGTTAGACACAATCATTTGCAGCAGTAGAGCAGAATTGGTCTAAATATAGCATTTTTTTAAATAACATTTTGTGTTTTATGCTGTTCCTAGGTCCCATGTCATGTTTATTCAGCTGCTCTCAGTGTTCCTTCAGTCACCATATAAAGAGGAAGGTCCAAGAGCACGTCCAGAGTGAGCACTGCACAGCAACTGCCATTCAGAAAATGTTGTATATGAAAAAAGCCAGCACAAAGACCCAGCAGAAAAATAAAGACCTTAACGCTGAAAAGAAGAACGTAGACGGCGGCCCAGAGAAAAAGAGGAAAAGCAAAAAAAAAGACAATGTTGAAAAAAAGCATGAATGTAAGCAGAAGAAGAACAACATAGAAAACAAGAAACAGCGCAGATGGAAAGAGCCCACGGGGGAAGACAAAAGGTTTCTGAGCACACGACCTGTGAACAAAAACTTCAGAGCAGAAGAAACCAAATGTCTGAAGTGTGGGAAGATTTTTGAACATCCAAATCAGCTCAAGGCTCACATGAAGCTCCACAACTTCCGGTACTCCTGCAGCCAATGTGAGAAGGGATTCACGAGCCAGTCGGGCTATTATCAGCACCAGAGAGTCCACAAGAGAGGACGAATCTTCATCTGCAGCCAGTGCAAGAAGGGGTTCCTGTGTAACTATTCGCTCAAGCAGCATGAGCGCCTGCATGAAGGCCCCTCCCATCTGTGTACTGTCTGTGGGAAAAGTTTCAGCAAAGCGGGCATCACAAGACACATGCAGATGCACAGAGGCGAGAAAAATTTCCTGTGCACCATATGCGGGAAGTCGTTCTTGTCTTCTGGGGAGCTGCTGGTGCACAGTCGGTCTCACACAGGCGAGTTGCCTTACACATGCACCTGCTGTGGGAAGGGTTTCTCCAGTAAGGGTCACCTTAACGTCCACATGCGCTCTCATACAGGGGAGCGTCCGTACCTGTGCTTAGAGTGCCCGAAGCGTTTTCTCACACTGAACTGCCTGAAGAGACACATGCTCAGCCACAATGGGGTGAAACCATTTAAATGTCCATGTTGTGAGAGAGAATTCTCTCAGAAGGGGAATCTGAATAGACATTTGGCAACTCATAAACCTGACACATAATGTGTAGCTTTAGTTGTCTGAAATCATCATTTAGTCAAGTATAATACAGGTTCCTTTGAAAATGTTTAGAATACTGTAACTCGAAAGCCCTTGTATATAAATATTTCATTTTTCTTTTGCAATGATGTGGTCTTAGATCTCAATCAAAGCAAATTTCTTTAATAGCAACACTTGTAAGAAGTAAATTTGAAATAGTTCATGTTTGTCTTCATTATATGCTGTTTTCAAATCTTTTTCAAAAATTCTGCCTGAAAATATCTCATAAGTCAGAGTTTGTAGCAAAATGGCTGTGTGGCTACCCCCACACACTGCTTTAATTTGTACATAAGAAAAGTTGTAAGGGACGAACAATGGTTGCTTGAAGTTATGCAGTCTTAAAATCCCGTGGCTCACAGTTGAATTGTTTAACTTTGCTATTATGAATTTATAACCCTGATACAAGCTTACTGCATTTGAATAATGGCTAAAAATGTAATGGTAGCATATAATTTTTATATCAGAATTGGTTTCTCCCAAGCAAGTGTGAGCCACTAGACATGCAAATGTAAAATAGAAGTGAAAAGCAGCAGCTGTAGGAAATGCAATTTATTTGCAATTTTTTAATAACATCATTCCTCAGATAAAAATGCAATGTTACAGGAATATACATCAGATATTAATTTAAAACTTGCTTTCAAGGGACCATACAGTCTAAATATACTTTTTCCTTTTTTATTTACTGGTAGCGTGCGTTATAAGCAAGACAGACTCTGTCACCAATGACAGACTGACAAGTTACAGATACAAACTGTACATTACTTATTTACAAATCAACTTTTTGTTTGGTTTTTCATTTCACTTTTTATTGAAAATAGGAGTAGAAAAGTGATTCAATTAATATTCTGATTTATTTCATTTATTCTTTCTCCTAAAATCTAAAATGAAATGAATGAACAAAAAAGGAAAAAAAAAAATCAGGAACTCTCCTTTAGAAAAAAGAAAGAAGAAGAAGGTGTGTCAATTGTGAGACCACGCAGTCTTCACTAAGGAGACAAATGATTAACTGAGGAAACCAAATGATGCTGGGCCAGTGTCACTTAGCAACCTCAATGAAATCCCTCAGAAAGTCGAGAGGGAGTGGCTTATGTTAAAGAACTCAGTTACAAAATGGCCACCTGCCTCCAAAGCTACTGCAAGCACAATAACACACTCTAGTTCATTTTTTGACCATAAATAGTGCTGTTATTACATACTACATTTAACAGTAGTGTCACTACTAATATTACAACAAATTGGTCTCTGTGTGAACACCACTCTCCAAAAATAGACTTAAGGATTGATGGTGGACTTCTCTCTGGCACAAAGGAACACAAACAAATAAACAGCTCAGTCCTGTCAAAGGCCCTTTAACTCTTTGCATGAAACTAAGACTATGAGCAAGATCATATGACTCTACTGACCTGTGGAGAACATACAGCCAGTAAATTTAAAAAAAACAAAACAAAAAAAAAATCAACAGAAAAGCCTATGTTAAACACTATTTTATATGAAGCTGTGGATCCCCTGCCGGGCCCAGGCTGACAAAAGGCTAGGAACACCCTGCCTGGATAGAAAGTTTAATTTAACACCTGCATGCTGTTAAAGAGGTGTTTCCACACCAGCAACAAATAACTCGCAGATGCTGATAATGTGCATGGCACAGACCTTCTCCTGCATTTGCACACCCAGACAAACATACGCTATTTGTTTGCTTTGTTGTTTTCTTTGTGGTCAAATGTGACTTTCTTAGCAAGATAAAACCACATGGAGTCAAGATTTGTGAAGATCTACTCTGTCAGCAAAGAGTTAAACCCAGTCAAAAGCCAAGCTAGCAGACTAAAATTAAAACATCTCCAATTACAGCTGCTAAAAAGGAAAATATCCAAACAAAGACCAGTAGCCTAAATGTAACTTTAGAATATTAAATGTGGATTTTTCAGACACCAGTAAGAGCATCAGTGCATCCTGCAGTCAAGGGATGACAGTGTAAAAATTATCATTCATGGTGCAATGTAAAGTAGCTCTTTTCAGTAAAATTAGAGAGGAGAAGGAGATGCAGAGAGGCAGAGACATTCATGGTTCCAGTGAGGATGAGCTGCTTTAACACCAGAACCACCAACAGAAAGTCTGCATCATAAAGCTGCTGCCACACCTCTAGAGCTGATAGCTGAAGTAATATGCTGAAGAAAGTCACTGTTAGAAACACTAGGTGGTACAGAAAACTCTTCTTCCCAGTCAACAAGCTGTGGGTGCAGCATTCTTCTCCAAAATGGCATTTTTATATGTGCAAATAGGGATCGCCTTTATTATTTAGAATTCAAGTAAGTGTATGAATAACAATAAGAGAAGGAATGAGTGAAACACGAGGCTTTCAAGGTCTTTACAATACTAACAGTCGTCATAATGTTCACACGGGGTACTGCTGTAGGCGCTGCTACACAACGGGTACCCCAGAAGTTATTTCTAAATCTACTGGGCAAGCAAACCTCATCCAGGCTACTGTCTGGTTCATTTTAGGACTCACTAGGCCCAAAACAAAAGAAGGGTGTTACAGATAAGTTCTATTTTTATTCCTCACAAATCAAAATTTCCCAAGACTGAGTGGCGACAACTTTGCATGAGTGTGTGAAAATTGTCATGCATGAACATCCTATAAGAAAAGCTGAGCTACTATGTGAGCCAGTATAGAACAACAATATGCAAAGGGTGGGTTAACTTTCATTTTAGTGCTGGAATTAGTTTGCCTTTAAAATCCATTCAATTACATCTAATTGTTTGCATTTTCCATGCTGTAAATTGAACATGTAAAATCCTTTTAAATCATCAGTGTGCTACTTGGTTTCATGATCCTAATTAATCCATCAAGAGTCTAATTTTACAGAAGCATCTGCTTTGTGTCACCCTTATTTAATAAAATGCACTACTGTTAACTTTAAACGTCTAATCAGATAACTGGAATCTCAATGCATGTGCTAAATTCTGTTACTTCTAAAATCCTGCTGCTGCATTGGCAGCAAACACACAAAGGCAAATCTTCACAAAAAGGAAGCTTCTCAGTGTTTTTTCAAGCCTGAAGCAAACATTCAACTGATGGTAAAGCCAATAAAGCATTTGCCCTCTGGGTCTAATGCTGAAAATGCCAGCATGTGTGGAGGTAAACAGTATGGCACCTCAGAGAACAGGCATTCTTCTGATCCTCTGCAAAATCTAGCTCCAACCTATCATTTAACATCATTTGGATAGCTTTTATGTATAATATCTAAACTAGAAGACACTTGCAATATAAACTTATATTTCACAATATAGTCCCTCTTTCACTTTCTTCTCAAATGTCCAAAGCTTTCATCAACATCAGTGACATCACAATAGCATCTGTGCAACAGAAAAACAGAGGCGATCCTCTTTTGTCTCCCCTGAACAGACTTTATATTCTAAATAAATTTAATTCAGTTAATTAGAATCTTACAGCAGGCTGTACTGATTTGACCTACCATAAAAGAAAATAAATCTGTATTCAAAATAGTCCTCTTAAAATATGTTTGTCAGAATCAAACAATGATCAAGAATCACTTCAATTTACAAGAAAATATAATGTACATCTGCTGCAATGATAGAGGAGCTTTGAGGAACCAAGACAGGGAAAACAACAAGACTCCTGCTGTTCAGTTCCATGCTCTTTCAAATGAATGTCACCGCTATCGGTAAATAGTTTCAACACACAACTCTCATACCTTTAAAATGTGCATAAAATACAATTTTTGTTAAAGTATTAACTTGTTAAAACTGGGCAGCTCAAATCATGTAAAGCAGCACTTCTTCATTATCAAAATATTAGACTTTTTTTTGTTATTTTGTGAGTCCTTGCTGTGAAGTGACATCAAAGTTGTTGGCCAAACGTTACACTACTTTTTGACTTCCTACTCTGCGTCCAACTCTGCAGATGAATGAATTTCTCTACACACATCAGGTCTTCCAAATCCTTTACTTGGAAGAAAAAGCAAAGCTACATGATTTCCAAAGCATAGAGAGCTTAAATAATGTTTTCAAAAAGTGTACAGTGTATGTGTATGTATATCGCTGATGCAATGCTAGTTAAAGAGAGACAGGTCTCTCAGTGCTACAGTAGGAAAATGTCCAGACTTTGACCTGCAAAGACAGGTTGCTGGTAGGTTTAATGTCTTTCAGCTCATTTTACAAAACAGAAAACAAACACAAGAAAACAGATTTTGAATCTCTCTCTTGATTAACATTTAAACTAAATATCAAGGTTTGAAAATTGTCTAGAGAAAAGTATTGATTTCTACAACATAGTGGCATTACAAGCTGAACAAATAAATGTTTACTTCTGGGTCACATCTGTGGTAAGTCCAGTTGTCTTAGCTGCAGTTAAGATGATTAAAAATAAAAACTGTTAGTTGTTTTCTGCAGCTGAGGGTCTTTATATATAGTCTTATTTGTTTTTACTGAAAAGCCATATAGTCTGGGAATCATCCTAACCTTCTAAAAGCCCGTTGGGTACATACCATCAGTTACAACATCCAAGGTTTCTTGCTTAATAAATACAATTACATTATTCCCTGCTGGATCCTTTTGGTCAGAAGTGGGACTTTGTTCAGTAAATTCACACTCAGTTTCATAACCATGATTAACTACATTCCCAAATAAGTGTCGTGCCATTTTCCTTACTCTAACATTCTGGTGATTAAATATGATATAATCATATATATCTTGCTATATAATGGTATATAAAAATATACAATCATTGGCTAGTGGTGAGACAAAAGATCATTCACACAGAACCAAAATGTTATACCTCTAGAGAAACCCATGCACATACTGTAACACATTTGGAAATGTAATTCATCATGTCAGAACGTAGAACACTCTGAAATCCAAACATGATAAAATAAAACTCTCTACATTCCCCAAAATACTATTCATCCAACATTCCGGCTTCTCATTGTCAACGAGCGCCAACTAGATTGTCATCCGTCTTCCAGAAACCAGGTCTTTGTTCTCTGTCTCTGCTTTCTCTCGAGGAAATTACTTAGAATTTGGATGGCACCTTTTGAGGCAGAGGGGAGTGATTTTACTTTAACCGGCTGTAGGTGGGGATCCAGGAAAGCAGCATGCACAGCAGCAGCTAATCAGCCTGATAAAGTGGCTACTCACAGGTACACAAACCTCTCTTGCTGCAGACATTGTGACTTATGTAAGTGTAATTAACATAATTAATAACAACTACATTCCGTTCAATGGTTCCAGCTCCAAAGCTGTGCTTTGATACAAACTAAGTTTACTGGGACATCATAGGAATGGAAAGTCATAAGGTACACTTTTTACTGCTAATTTGTCCACATCTCAAGGACCACACTGGCAGGATGGACAAAAAGCATCCTGCTACTGTGTTTCAATTCCATATCACATACTAACTATATACAAATACCAATCCTAGTGTACAGGAAATTGTGTAATACATGCACTGTCCAAAGTGTATTAAACTGTGATTTAAAAATAACTATAATTTGAACTTTGCAGAGGAAAGATTTTCATTGTTGTATTCTGGAGCCATCTCAGAAACTGTAATTGGCTTTAAAGGGTTATTCCACAGATTTTACACAGAGTCAGGTTTACTCACCATGAGATGCACATGGGGGATCTTTGGCATGATGATGTCATAGTGATGTCAACAGGGTTCTCTCAGATTGGGCAGGCATGACCTATAGAAAAGGTGCTATGGTGCATAATGGGAAATTTGGAGTTTGCCCCATACTGGGAACTAAACTTAATAACATATAGGCCTCTGTTGAATCAGTATGAGTTCTTCAATACTAAAACAGCCGGGAGGTACCTTGAATGTTTGCAGCTGTGCGTAGGTCCATTTCTCCATTTCGTTTATGCTTTCAACAGCACACTCAAAAGCTTTTTCTTTTTTGTTTTTTTTTGTTTTTTTACTATGTCTGTCATGTTTTCAGTGTGACTACATATTTAACCAAACCTGTGTAGACTTGATATGTAATATGGAACTGGGACACAGCTTCATTTTAATTTAATGAGAATATAGAAAGTAAAAGCCTGTGTGTTTTATTCATGTGGAGCCTCTGGTTCAATCCACCAGTTTTTTTGTGGAAAAAGTTACTTATTTTGGGTAATTTGGTTGATTTCATATCAGTTATTTCCACTGGTCTGTCTCCCACATGTCGGTAGTTGGAAGGGTAGAAGATAAAGACAAAGTCAGACAAGAGACTGTAAGAGACTACTAAACACAAAGGCAAAGAATTAGTGATGCCTGTCTGAACTGGGGCATAAAAAATACTATAGTTTCTTTCATGTCTCATGACAATCATATAAACATGAGCTCTATCAGAAAATGGACTAAGAGCCCATAAGACACAAGATATGCAAAACCACCATCCAAATACCATCAACTTGTGTCCACAGTCATATGTTAATCTAGAGAAGAAATGCTTTAAAAACAGTATTCACACAAAATACAAATAGCTACTCTGCCATAAGGTGATATGATAATTACTTTGATTAAAACACAAATGACTGAAAAATCTGGAATGCTCAAATGTCAACATGTGAACCTCATGCAAAACTGATGGTACACCCACAGCAAAGTCCATTTAAAAACTATAACTGGAAATGAACAAGAGAAAGTGATACAGTCAAAAAGTACCAAGTCAATGAGATGATGTTAGCTGGTTTTGCTGCTGAATCATCCAAACAAATGATCAAATTTTCACTCAGTGTATTTTGGCTGGATGTTAAAGCACAAGCAAACACAATGACGTCATGTCACTGTCTCGGTACACATTTTTGACTGCAGGTGCATATCCAGCACCTTGGCATGAGAAAGATAAATAAATACATCTTTACTATACTGCACTGCAAAGTACCTGATTTCAAGTATGTTAGGTTTCTCTCACATGGAGAGAGTTTACTTAAAAATGTAACAAACAGAAAATATTACATCTTCATGATAGTTTTTTTTCTCACTTTCACAAGTATAATTACTTCAGGACCCTTGTATACAGTCATAGTTATTGCATTGTTTTTGCATATCTTGTGGGATTCAGGATTACACCCACTCATACCATTACACTGCAACACAACACCTCAGAGTTTCATGCCAACCTGTATAGTATATAACAAAAAACTGCAATGCTGCTCCACTCCACACGGGGGCACGACAGGCCCTTGAAACTCACCAACATTTGCAACCAACAAGCCTTTAAACACACACAGCAAAGCCTGGTTTGACACTTCTGATCTGCAGGGTTACTCCATAATGTAAGTGGGTGTCTATAACATGCGAATATGAAAGTAAGTATGAAATTAAAGATAGCAAGATAGGAACTAAAAGTAGCTTCTGAGTGCATGCATACAGTATATTATTTAGGTGGTGAACATTGTTTTGATTACTGATTACTTATTTTAAGGCTATGATGATAAAAGAAAATGCCAGCTATGCAACTTTGTAGAAACCTTTCCATCTTAATTTTATCTTGCCCACATGTGATGGTGGTTCTGTGTTCAATTTACTACTGTCATTCATTATTACATGGTTTCGTATCAAACTGATCTGAGAGAGGAGCATTCATGTCTGTTACACTGCATGATGAAATGGTTGGTAGCAAGCAGAAATACTGCTGGGTCCACTGTAGCTTGGATACAAGAACTACTACTTTACCGTTCAGGTGTCTGCTGATTACATTTATTAGTGAGAATATCAGTGAAAATAAGTGGGAGAAGAAACCCTAATGTCTTTTACATTCTGGGTTAACTAAACTTTAACCTGGGTCAATACAACAAAGCGTGGAAACTATGATCAAAGCACAAAGTTTGATTGTGCTAATTTTAAGGTTACTGAAGTCAGATCCTGCCCCGTACACATTAACATTAACTCCCAAAAAGAAGCTTATACTGAAATTGATGTGAGCATGTTAGCTTATGGTATGATATGATTTTGAAACCGCCTATTTTAATGAGGTGTTTTAGAAAGTAGGAAAGAAAAAAAGAAAAAAGAAGGAAAGTGCTGAAGGGGGTGGTGGTTTGGTATTCCTTTGACAGCACAAACCTTCAGGATTTGCAGTATGATCTTAAACACAAACCAGTAGCACTGCCATGAAAAACACAGTCAACGTTCACATTTAGTTTGCATAATAATATCAGAAGTCTGTTACTGGCACAGGATGCAGTGTATGGCAGTGTGTTCATACCAACCCTTTGTTTGCCACAGACCTGCTCTGCTTAACAAGTAGGAATCAATCTCAGCAGTGAGTCCTTAATGATGAATTAAGGTGAAAACTAAGGGCTGTTCTTACAAGATCATTTTTGGCTGGTATAACTAGATCTGTTGAGCTGTATCTGCACATGAGCACTTGTCTGGTAGGCGCCTCATGTGACTTTGTATGGAGAGTTGAACTACATGATTTGAGTTTTAAATATAATAGCGTCATTGACATAATAATAATGCTTTTTTGGAATTGATACAATACCAAAATGAGACCTGTGCACTGTGCATTGACCTGAGGCCTGAGTACCATACCTGGCTATGGCACACTGTGGCCATACTTTATCTATAGTGAATCAAACTATAATCAAGAACCAAACATTAAAAGAGAAAGGTGGATCAAAAATGTTAGTATGCTACCTAGATGCCACAAAAAAACCCCCAAAACAAATCATATCAAAATACCATCCAACTTTCCTCTGAATTTGAATTAATCACATTAACCAAACAATTATCAAATAGCAATACATTTCCAATTTGTATTATAACTTCCCAGTAGTTAGTTTTGCCAGCATATTTTATTACAAACAGGAAATTAGTTGATCAGTTGACAATGCTAACAAATCAGAAAGTGAGTGGACCTCGTTCAAAGTGAAGTGATTCAGAAGTCTTGCAGCATCTGTACACCTGCCTGATAGTTCACTGGAGTTTTAATTATGATTAAATGATAAAATCATGTGATTAAGGTGTTGCAGCCGAGCAATAGGGCGTCACCGCCCCAGTTCATTCAATAGGCATTACTGTGGCAGTAAAAATTTGGTGCTTTTACCATTTAGAGCAACCATTCATGAAGAAGAAAAGCAGCAATTGCCAAAAGGTGTCTTACCTTCTGGCCAAGCTACAATACCAAAACTAATCACATTGTAAATGCGACCATCATTCAGATCTTGTTGGAAACCTTACTCTTAACTACCTCTACACAGCTAAAGAAAAGTTATGTGATGACTCATCTTCAAAGAGACAGTGGCTTCTGACTCTGCAGCTTGGCTAAAAAGTAAAAACTGTACTAAAGAAATCACAAAGCTTTGGAAGCATGCCTGTCCATGGTAACCCTGTGTTAAGGAGGCCCATTATCACACACATACCTTCATACACGCACACACACATACAACACCATGCTTGTAATGCTACCTTAATTTACTGTCTAGGCTTAAAATCAGCTTTTTAGAATACATGAGTAACCACTCAGAACACAGGCACACACACACTCATACATACAAACACATTCTCACATATTTTTTTCTCTTCTGGGAAAAATAAATAAATAAATAGATACAATCTGTAAAAGGTGCATACTGATAGAGAGAAAGACCCCCCTTTTAGATACACACACTATCTCACACACTCGTACACACACGCATTCTGTACTAAAACGCAGACACTCACTTGCACGCACAAATATAGTTATACACTCGAACGCAAACACTACGCCCTGCTTCAATACTTAAAACCTCTTAAAATTCTCCTAAAATAAACTGAGCAAAAATACATTTATAAGACCAGCACCCCGATTGTGCAAACAAATCATAGATAAATTAAACCAATAACATCATGAATATAAATCAAAATAGTCATGGCTAGTCAGTTTTGCACAATATTGAACTGTTAAATACATAGTGGGTGTGGTCTGTAGAGGGAGTGGGTGGCAGCACATCCAGTAGGTTTCCATGCTGAGAGGAAGAGGAGGGTCTTGAAGAAGGAAGTGAGGTTGATTGATGGGCAGATCCTGTATTGATCCCTGCCCTGAGTCAGTTCTTTTCTTAATCGTTCACTCCCATTCTCTCCTCCACCTTACCGTCTCTGTTGCCCTGTTCAACACACGCACACCTCCCCAAGGACTGAAAAAGCAAAAACTCAGTGATGGAGGAAAAGGGGTGGTAGAATAACCAAAGAGATGGGAGGAAGGAGAGAGGGAGGAGTGAGGAACAGTGAGGTATGAGGCAGAAAAGGGGCTTGCTGTTTCAGCTTAGCCACCAAATGCTCCTCCCATTTCCTGTTTGGGGCAGGAAGTGGGCATGACCAAACAAGGATGAGCAAGTGGAGGAGGAAAAGCCAGATCAAGGTAACAGATGAGGTGAGTTTGTCTGCCGCTGGCATCTTACTGACCAGCAGAAAAAGGGCTGGCTAGCTTCCTGTTGGCCAGAGTGTCTCTCTCTGCCAATAGCCCCCTGGAGCAGCCCTGTTGTGGCTGTTGGTCCATCCCTCAAATCCTTCCCCCCTCATGGCTGGGGCAGTGTATCACCTTGATTCCACCCCAGAGTTGGCAGGGATGTGCTCCAAGGTCCCATAGCTTTGGAAGAGGAGGAGAAAATGACATTTTAAACAGGGTTTTCCTCACCCTGTTTTACAGCGCTTTGTCATCAGTGATCCAAGAAGGAAGGGTTGATCTTTGACCTCCAGAGGGCATGGTCAGATCTTAATCTGACCCCCATACTAGCTGGTCTGTTGTCCCCTACCTGGCTTCATGGTGGCCAGATAAACAACAATAACACAACACCAAAGTAGACATAGGAAATAAAAGAAAAACAATAAACACACTGTCAATTGCAGGAAATCCATAAAAGGACTTCCTGCCTCTGTTTCCTTTCTACCTTTCCATTACTCCTACGTTCCTTTGTCTTTTTTGCTTGTCTCTACTGTTCTGCTCTTCATACTTTGAGGATATGATAAAACTGTGAGGCACTTTAGAGACACACTCAGAAATGTGTGGAGAACACACACACACACACACACACACCTACAAAAAGAGAAAAATCATAACTCATACATACAAACAAACACTCAGACAGTATAGACTATAGTGCGGAATACTTTACTACAAACATTCACACACTTACAATCCAACAAAGTTGTAACCAGGTGTTTAAGGTTGTGTCACTGGCCGCCATTGTCCAGAGCTGTTACGTCTGGCAGAGAGGCAGACAGTGTGTGTGTGTGAGCGGTGGGGACAGACAGAGCCAGCTGTGGCGCTGTTACCCAGCACTGACGAGTGTCAGTCTCTGATGATGTCAGAGGGGCTAGTCGAACCTATTGAGCTGACTCCTACAAACTTGTCACACACTCCAAATCCTCATCTTCCAACAGCCCGCTGTTCCTCTGCCGCGCTCCTCCAGCCACAACTGAGCTTCTGTGATGCTCCTCCTTTCTCACTCCTCCCTCCTCCTCCTCCTCCTCCTCCTCTCGTCCTCTCCCACATATTAACAGCTCTTGCCGCTCCTCCACAGAGGATGGCTCATGGACTGAGCCTCTACTTCCTCCAGCCTCTCCCCCGCCCTCACTGGGACTCAAGCTGACCACTCGGTCCCTGTGTGTTGCTGCTGTTGTGTGGAAGGGGAGGAGGTTGCCATTAGGGCTGTGCTGGGAGGTGGAGGGGCTGCTAGATGCGATGTTTGCAGTGGTGCTGCCATTGAGAATGTTGTTGGCAGCGTGCTCCATCTCCTCGATAGTCATGTCGCAAGCATCAGCCAACTCGGCTTTGGTTGCCTCAATGAATGATGGGTCCTGGGCGAAACGACCCAGCCCCTCAGATATTAGCACCTTGAGAAGGAAATGTGAAAAATAGAAGAGAAAAGGAAGAGGGGCTATCAGATCAACAGCGAGATGGAGTGGGAGAGAAATGGCTTCTGCACACACATGAAGACAGACACTCACTGCCTCCACCAAACTGCCTGCGCTGCCATGAGACGTCAAGCTAGAGTCTTTTCTCAGCACTGATGGTACTGTGAGCGACACCGGCCGTGGCGCTCTATGACTGGACACCAGTGTGCTGGGGATGGGACTAGAACTGGGCCTTCTGTTATTGTCACCGTACCTAGGGGGAACACATTTCTTTAATAAAAACATGTTAGTTTGTTTTGCACTGTAACTTGTAGCATTTCTTTGTAAGTTACTCTGTCTTACCAGGGCCCACAGTTGACAGAGGGCAAGCTAGTATTAAGCTTTTCATGGGAGCTGGAGCCCTCTAGCCTCAGAGAGGGCACTTGCTGGCAGGAAGCATCACTCCCATGAGCTAGAGAAACAAAGACAGGAGAAACCACAATGAGGAGAATAACCCTATTTTAACAAATACAACAACAAAGCTGCAACAAGACAAAAACAAGATGCACTTCAAAATCCACTTTTACAGTTCCTTCCTAATTAAATAAAACTATAATTGTGCTTGTTGAGGAAATGTCATGCAATATTTTTGCCAGTACTTAACAAACATCCTTTTGGCCTTTGATATGTGCGCAGGGTGCAGTATACCTGTGGGACTGGCTGGAGGTGTAGAGCATAGCCGGCTGAAGAGGGTAGGTGAGTGACTCCTTCTGAGCAGAGGACTCAACCCTGCCACTGCTAGAGCCTGGAGGTGGAGGGAGAGCAGAGGGAGAGTATTAGCAAGGAGCACAGAGGGAAGATGATGTCTGACTAACTCGCTATAGCTGGGAGTTTTACTTCACATACTGTATGTACAACTAGTCTATGTTTAAATGTAAGAGTGTGTTTGACTTTATTATGTGGGTGTTTTCTACCTGATGATGTACAAGGTGTAAGGGTACAGCCGTCTTCTGTGAGACGTCTGGCCTTGATTGTCTCCTGAGACACTCAAGATGGAAGGAAGATCTCCGCCCTACACGCATGCCACCCATACGCAAACAAACAACATGTAAAACTGCAGGAAAAGTAGGGCCTGTATTCAAATTGTGCCTTTTTACCAACTTTTACCAACAGTATGTGAGAGTGTCTACTCACCCAGAGAAGTGGGGCAGAGGAAGACTCTCCTGGGAGATTGCCACCCTCCTCCTCTTCTGTCTTCTAACTCCTCTCCTCCCTCCATGGGAGTCAGCTGCTTACATGTTTCATCATGATACACAAGCCTAGTGTGAACACACAGATTCACAAAGAAAAGTTAATGACAGAAACATTTGGACATACAAGTAACAAAAACGAAATTGTTTGGGTGTGTGTTGGCAGTACATGTCAGAGGAGAGCGAGTGGTCCTCCTCGTGGTACTCCCTATCATCGCCATAGCTCTCATCATACGTCTCCTCTGTTGACCCCTCCCCTCTTCGGATGATTGGCAGACGGCTTTCACTAGAGTCCGAGCTATAAACAAACAACCGCACACACAACCGAAACAAGCAAACAAACAAAATGAACATAAATACAGATGAAAAACAGGTTCACAAATAGGCAGAGTTATTAAACATACACAGAAAAAAAAGCGTGGCTAATTAGCAAAAAACTCAGAAGCTCAGGAGGAGGGACTGATAAACCCAGTGGGGCTTCACTACCGCATGTTGGAAAAGGAAGCAGGAGAAAGGAAAAGAAGCAGGTGAAAACTGCAACTGGTTTGTGGAAGCAAAATGGCAACATCTGGAATATGACAAACTGGTGAGGTGCGGACATCTTTAAAAACAAAGAGTAAGGGACAAGATAATGGCTCATAACAGATAGTGTAGTTAGCTAATACTTGGAGAACAGTATTTTGATGTAGTCCTACTGGGAAATTAAACAGGTACTTTTTATACCATTGTCATCATTTACAATGAAGGCCAATAAAATCAGAGAATGAGATGCCGTCCTTTGTACTCATCTCTTAGGAAGCAGATGCAGTACATTAACCTGGATAGGCGAGTAGCAAACACAAGAACATCTAACTCTGTCCCAATACCTGTTCTTTTCACAAGGCAAGCCTAATCTAAACTTTGCATATTATTTGTATTACCTTGTATTTTCTTTGTATTCCAAAAATGTCTTGTCACCCTGTCTGCCCACATTTGCTTCATATTCCAGACTTAAGCTTTAAAGATATATTCTGACATTTGAAATGTAATCTTTTCTACTTCACCAGATTGTTTGCATAAGAGCTGCAACATGTCAGTTTGCAGAAACCATCTGTCAATTGTTGTATTTCAAATTAACAGTCTTAACAAAGTACTTAGCTTACAACTAGCTGTAGTCATTATTTTTTAATGATGACCACTTAAAAACACAACAATCTATTCTTTGCTTTTTCCTTCCTGGTGAAGAAAAAAACTTCCAAGATGTCTCTTTACAGTAATCCACAGCTATTATATGGGATCCACAGCAAACTCTGGGTTAGAACAGCATTTGATTTGCTTAAAACCGGACTACGACTGTTTTAGGCAGCTGGGTAGCCTGTTGCTGTACCAAGCAAATCTAATGAGACAGGGCATCAGAAAGCTTATACTTTGCTTTGTTTGTAATTGAGCACTAAATTCTACAACACTTACTGTCTGTCTCTAAGCAGGGAAGGTTACTCCTCTCTCTCATTAACTATAACCAAGCAGCCAGTTATCAAGGCTCTTAAATGTCACCTAGGAGCCTAGTGCACACCCTTCTAAAATAAATCTATTTAGTAAAAATAAGTTTAAAGCCTTTTAGTGACCCCCTAGAAGCTGCAGTTTTTATTAAACATTTTCAACAATTACACTGCAGATATACTGAGTATATACTCAAAGAAGCAAAATAAGTATGAGCTTTCAGATGTTTCCAAATGTTTAAATTTCTACAGAGTTAATATATAATGAGTAGACATTGTGTCCAACCCAGACCTGCCTTCAAATACACTAAAACAGCAGCAACAAGAGCCCTAGATAAGAAAGGTCTGGCCATGTTGCACCAAACTGTCTATCCATGGCTTAGATAGCAGATATAGTAGCAGCATGTAACACCGCTTTTGTTACAGCAACAAAACCCTCATGTGCATAGCAACAGGTGTCGCTATAGCACCTTGATAGCTATGGCATTTGATATAGCATTATGAAACCCTTTTGGACTCATTTAGGGGACTAACACAGCACACACACACACACAGACACTTTCTCTCTCTCTATCTCCTGGCAACATACCGCATGAGGGTGTCATAAAAACATGTCCTGCTTGCCACCAGAAACAAAAGACAGAGAAGAGGAAGGAAAAAGAAAGTGAAGGCAATAGAAGAACCATTTATGTCTGAACTAAGAAATCTAGGAAATGTAAGAGTCAGACTAATCCTTCTTGCCTGAGTTCAAGAGCACATAAAGTAGGAAAGCAATAAAAGATTCCAAAACAACACTTTCATAAAATAAAATGATGTTACATACTCAACAACATGGAGATGTAACCTGTTGTCTGGCCTTTACTCACCTTTTTGGAGGAAAGCACCATGCAGATCTTGGGAGCAGGATGGGGGTGAGTGGCTGTTCTGTGTGCCCATCCACAGTGCTTATGGATGGGCTTGGGAATCGAATGATGCCCTGGGTTGGCACCCCGGCCATGCCAGTGTTGTTGGCATTGTTGATGTTGGCATTGGAGCCTGATGAAGAGTAGGAGTAGGAAGAAGGGGTGAAAGTGGTCGAGTCCATGAGCTTTTCATGTGATGGGCTCTCGCCTTCACAAGGTGAGCCCTTTTGACTGATATGCAAGGGACGTTGGGTAGTGAAGGACTGTGGGAAAGAACTGCGGCCATCACTTTGGTTGTAGTAGTTGACGTGATTGCCAAACAACCCACCCGTGCGCTGTGGTGTGACAAGTTGAGGCAGAAAGATGGAGAGATACCAAAGGAAGAGAGGAGCAGACAGGAGGAAAAATTAGATGAGAAGAGAATAGTGAAAAAATACAGTAAGGTAAAATAATGTTTTAGTCAAACTATCTTAATATGTTACTACATTGAAAGACTCAGTCAGAGTAAGTCCACTAACATTCACTGCTAGCAGCAACAAAACCTTACTCAGCCATGATGGAAATGCAAAGCAAAGACTTTATGTCACAAATCAAGGAGGTAGGAGCTTTTAAATGCAAGGTATACAAAAAAAAACATCACTCATGTTTTTTAAGAGATGAAAGTCTTGACTTGGTAACAGAATGATGACACTGAATGAATCAGACATGAATATTGGTCTAAAATCTCAATATTTCTGCAGTGGGTCTCAGAGGAGTGGTCTGATGTTATTTCTTATTCAGTTAGTGAGTGCTGCTAAAAATATGTTGAACCATTTATTTTAGCTTATCTATGTTACAGACAATATGTAAATGTAACAAAATTCTGTAGCAATCAAAACTGAGCATATGGATGTAGCAATGAAGGTGAAAATGGAAGGCTGGTAACTAGTTTAACCCACCCTCTTAGTACAAGAAGCTGTGTGTGTGTTCTTGTACTTGCTACATGGTGAGGACCAAGAAAGTATTTTTGCTACAGAATGAGGACATTTTTGAAAGTGAGGACATTTTGGCCGGTCTTCACTTTCAAAAATGTCCTCATTCTGTAGCAAAAGTGTGTGTTCACTTTCTGAAACAGCTTTTCAAGTGTTAAGACTCAATTTTAAGGTTAGAATTAGGTTTAGGTAGGTATTAGGGTAAGGGTTATGGTTCAGGTTAGACATTTAGTTCTGATGGTTAAGGTTTGGGTAAGAGGATAGGGAATGCAGTATTTCAATGCATGTCCTCACAAAGATAGAAGTGCAAGTGTGTGTGTGTGAGAGACACAATTCCAGTGCTCAGCCGTTTCCTGCAGTGTTGTTGTGTGTTTGATTTTATGATTTTGTTTTATTGTATTTTACATTTCATGTTCACTGGTTAATTCAAATAATAGATAACCAATTCAAAAATGTAGTTCAGTCTCTCTAGTGACTGGTAGCAAAGCTATGTTGGGTAAAATTAAGCTTTTTAAAATGTATTTTCAACCTCTGAGCACATGCAAGAATGTCAGGGTATGCGCATGGAGCAATAATACGGCTTCAAGCTGGACGCTGATGATCTTTCTCACTCTTTCTCTCTCTCTCTCTCTCTCTCTCTCTCTGGAGAGTAAGTGAGGGTGTGTGTATCCAACCTTTACCCTGAAGATATCATCCTCAGATGCAGCTGACACAGGCTCCTTCAGACCTTTGTCCAGCTCCTCTTCTACAGTCAGGTCTCCAGAGATGGCCCTCCGAATTTCTGGACCAATGTCATGCAATGTCCGCAGGCCCGCCTATGCACACATCAAACACCATAAAGTGTTGTATTTATCATGGAATAACAGAGTGGCGACACTGATTATTCTATTTATTTATTATATTTATTCATTAGAAGAAGCCTATTATAGACATTATATTTCCTTACCATTCCTTTAATAATTTTGGGATCAAAGTCACATTTTGAAAAATCTACCATTGTCATTTGAATGTCCTAATAATGTAACAACTATGTACAGATATATGCTCAAGAGTAAATGTCTTTGTGCACCTGCAGAGAGAGGGCAGTTTTGGGGGGCACCTTGGCCACCAGCCCTTGTTCTTTCCTCTTCTTAAACTTGCGGAAATATTCTTGAATGAGGAAGGTAGCGTAGAACTTCCCAACTGTTACCTCATCGTCTGCAAGAAATAAAAATAATAATTACAGTAAGATGGGCAAATGCTAAAAATAATGCCTCAGTTCGTTTCAGGAAAGCTGTTGCAAGTGATGCTGCAGAGCTTTTGGTAACAACAATAAAAGGAACTGAAAGTGTTTACCTTTTCAATTGTTATATATGAAATATTTTAATATATAATCAGATATGTTACAAGGAACTAAAATACTGAGTATGAAACTGTGTTGCAGAATATACATACCACCAGCAGGGGGCACTACTTGATCTAAGAGCTTCATGCTGGTTCTCTTCCAGATCTTCTTCACTATTGCCCGAAGTTCTTCATTGGCTTGCTCCAGATTACCTGCACAGACATAGTGTTCAAAGTTGTATTTTACAGTTAATTTCACAGTTACACATTACATTACCACACAGCCTGTCCATGAAGGCCTCAGCAGAAGTGTGCCCATATTTGTATCTACTGAACAGTACTGAACGAGGATTCTTACTGTATATTCCAGATGTATTGTTACATTGTGTGTGTGTGTTTTTTTGTCATTAGGATAGTATACCACAGTGGCAGTGAGCAGAAATTCATGTGCAGAAGATGTTTAAATATGTCATCATGAAGTACACATATTAAAATTTTAAAAAATCTATTAAACATAAATCTGTTTTCACACAATGCAGCCAGATCAGCACAGGTGGCAGAGGTACAAGGAAAAGCCTGACCATTACTATTTAAATGGTTACATAATCTGTACTAGAAGGAAAACTGGGATAATATTGGCAAAAACAAATGTCGAACTAAAAAACTTCATTTTTCTGGAGAAAATGCGTATGGATGCTGAGTGCTGAAAAAGTGCTTTGATAGCTGAAATAGCTGAAAGTATGCTGAAATAGAATTTTCCCATTCATTTAAATGGGGCAAGATTTTCAGAATAAAGCTAAATATTTGTAAAGTATGAAGTTTAGAAAACATCTGAATAGAAGCATGAATGTCCTTGAAGAGTTGAACATGCTGATAACTGAAAGTAGAATTTTCCCATTCATTTGAATTGGGCACAATTTTCAGAATAAAGCTAAATATTTCAAATGTATGAAGTTTAGAAAAATTCTGAAGAAAAACATGAATGTCCTTGATGAGCTGAACATTTTGATAGCTGAAATTATGCTGAAGTAGAATTTTAGCATTCATTTGAATGGGGCATGATTTTCAAAATAAAGCTAAATATATCTAAGGTATGAGATTTAGAAAAATTGAGTAGTAGCGCCAATGTCCTTGAAGAGCTGAACATTTTGACAGTTGAACGTATGCTGAAGTAAAATTATCCCACTCATTTGAATGGGGCAAAACTTTCAAAATAAAGCTAAATATTTCAAAGTTATAAGGTTTGGAAAAATCCTGTAGAGAAGTATGAATGTCCTTGAAGAGCTGAAAATTTTGCTACCTAAAATATCTGAAAGTATGCTAAAATAGAATTTTCCCATTCATTTGAATAGGACAAAACTTTCAAAATAAAGCTAAATATTTCAAAGTTATAAGATTTAGAAAACTCCTGAAGAGAAGCATGAATGTCCTTGAAGAGCTGAACATTTTGATAGCTGAAATAGCAAAAGGTATGCTGAAGTAGAATTTTCCCATTCATTTGAATGGGACAAAACTTTCAAAATAAAGCTAAATATTTTAAAGGTATAAGAGTCACAAAAATCCTGAAAAGAAGCATGAATGTTCTTGAAGAGCTGAACATTTTGATAGCCGAAAGTATGCTGAAGTAGAATTTCCCCCATTTATTTTAATGGGGCAAGATTTTCAGAATAAAGCTAAATATTT